CTGAAGTCAGCTGCTTAACCGACTGAGCCACCCAGGCGCCCCACCAGCACCTTCTTGAATCCTGAGAAGTGATGGCCAGTGGAGGGGGAAAGTCCTACAGGCTCTTCCAAAATTCCAGTAAATTCTAATGGAAGAAATCCGCCCTTAGGTTTGAGCAGTAGTTCTTAAAGTCTCACCCTGGTGTTCCCCTTTCTCCAGGAGAGTAGGGTCTCCCCTGGGGACAGAGAGGGACCCCTTCACTGGGTCAGAAGGCTGTGTCCAGTTGGCACCGACGCCAGCAGCATAACCTGACTGCAGAAGTTCTAGCAGCTGCAGGGCCCACGCCCCCTGCCGCTTCCCCACTCTGGGGTCTTCATCCAGCTCTCCCACTCCTCCCCAAGGACAGCCCCGGCAGATGGCCCCACCTTCATGGATGGGGAAACTGAGGCCCAGAGAGTGTAGAAGGCTGGCTTAGCCCCAAAATGACTCAGGGATTAGGTGGGAGTATGTGGGGGCCTGGAACTGCCCACCAGAGCCAGCCCCAGGCCGACCTGTGGACGCATCACCTGTAATCACCACCTGCCTGGGTCCCACTTGGCGCCAGGGCACCTGGATAGCATCTCTTCTGTCCCCCAAACAGCCCTTGGGGTGGGAGCACCTCTCACAACCCATGACTCAGGTGGGGAAACTGAGGTAAGGGGGAGAACGTGCCTGCTTTTTTACCGCCCCCTCCCCACACACATATACTTAATCCTCTCAATCTGGGGAAGAACTCACTAAGGTAAGTCACTCCCAATGGAGAGTCAAGGAGAACTTGACATTTTCCATTTGGGTCACCTTTTTCATCTCTCCTTTTAGGAGAAGAGTGGGATATTACGTTCTTGGAGCACAGTAAAGAGTAGCCACATGAGATGCCTGCCTTTTCCCTTGACCCCTTGGCTAAATCCTGGTGGCCTTCCTGGAGGGAGCTAGGAAGGAGAGCAGTTCAGCCAGTCTGAGTGGCAAGTCTGGCCTCTCTCCCTGGCCCTGGTGGGTGTAGGGAGCAGGGGGCCTTTTAGAGACCTCACAGCCATGAAGGACATTCCATTAAAAGCTTTTGGGTGGGCGCCTGACTGACTTAATTGGACGACAAGGTGACTCGATCTCTGGGTTGTAAATCTGAGCCCCACATTGCATGTAGAGATTACTCAAAAGTAAAATCTTAAAAAAAAATAAAAGCTTTTGGTATCTCCAAATGAGGTTATGCTCACAGTTACAGAGACACGGGGATAGGAATGAAGTCAGAAAATGCTTGTCTCATGACTTTAACCTTTAGTACAATTATTTTGACAAACCTGGTTGGTGGTGGTGGTTGTGGGTTTTTGCCTTTTTTTTTCTGGTAATCCATTGGTATCCTCAAAAATGGAAATGTCCCAGGCCTTGGAGCGCCCCCCTCCCCCCCCCACATAAGCACACACACATTTCGGATGGACCTGGCCTCTCTCCAGCACCCTCCGCGTGGCCCTGGCCAGGCTTCACCCGGCCCCACGCCCCCTGCTCCTCCCCTCACCACTTCCGGGTGCTCTGCCGGGGCCATAAATTATCCATGAGCTCGAAGTTGGCTGTTGCTTCAACTCAGGGCTGAGGTGACGATGAAATATTCAGGGATCTCAACTCTCAAATTCCCTGGTGGCCGCAGGATGGAACTGGGGAACAAGGGATTCACGTAGCAGGGCGGGGGGCGGAGGAGGGGGGCTCCAAGCCCTGACCGCGGGTCCCGCCCTGCTGGAGTCTGGGGCCCAGAGGCCTGGGAGGTGGGGGAAAGGTCCCTATGACATCCAGGACTGTGGCTCTGGGTGGTGCCCTCTTGGTGTGGAGGCTTGCGCGGCAGTGAGCAGAGGTGACT